CTGAAAACCTCATCCAAGATTCACCTCAATCAGATGCTCCAAGGGAAGCTGAAAATTCTAGCAAGGAGTTAGCCGAAGAATCTGATGGAAATACTCAAGTTAACAAGCAGTACGTGTATACACCAGACTATTCTAATATTATACTAAGGCCTTTTACAGACCAGGAAACTATCGAAGAAATGCCTGAAATTATTGAAATGGAAAACCAAGTGGAGCTCGATCTAACTTATTTAGAAAGCTGTTTAGGATTAAGCACGGTTAAAATTACATTTACTTTTCGATCTATTTTGGAAGATAAGTATGATAAAATTGAATTGAAAGGACGTGGCCGTTTAAGTAATTGTTACAAAATCTCTGATACGGAGGTATGCAAATTTGTAATGGTGGCTAAAAATGATGCAAATAAGTATGCATCCTATTTGTATGCAGCATATAGCTCAGAAGGATTTAAATTTGAAGACGTTTCAAATGGAATTCTTGAATTACTCAATATTGAAGTAGGAAAGGTGAAATACAAGGATACGAAATATTGTAGAAAATGCAAGTTAAACAAGGAAGAAATTGGTTTGCCATGTCACAGGCTATGTAAGACCTGCTGGATCGGTCATGTGAGTGAACATCTTTCTTCTGAGAAACTTGAAGATCCTATAACGTGTCCAAATGAAGAATGCAAAGAAACTTTGAATTCTGAACAATGAAAATTGTACAAAAGTGAAAATTGTACAAAAGTGAAAATTGTACAAAAGTGAAAATTGTACAAAAGTAAAATTGTACAAAAGTAAAATTGTACAAAAGTAAAATTGTACAAAAGTGAAATTGTGCAAAAGTAAAATTGTACAAAAGTAAAATTGTACAAAAGTAAAATTGTACAAAAGGAAAATTGTACAAAAGTAATTGTACAAAAGTAAAATTGTACAAAAGTAAAATTGTACAAAAGTAAAATTGTACAAAAGTAAAATTGTACAAAAGTAAAATTGTACAGAAGTTAAAATTGTACAAAAGTGAAAATTGTACAAAAGTGAAAATTGTACAAAAGTGAAAATTGTACAAAAGTAAAATTGTACAAAAATGAAATTGTACAAAAGTAAAAAAGTGAAAATTGTACAAAAGTGAAAATTGTACAAAAGTGAAAATTGTACAAAAGTGTAATTGTACAAAAGTGTAATTGTACAAAAGTGAAATAGTACAAAAGTAAAATTGTACAAAAGTAAAATTGTACAAAAGTAAAATTGTACAAAAGTAAAATTGTACAAAAGTGAAATAGTACAAAAGTAAAATTGTACAAAAGTAAAATTGTACAAAAGTAAAATTGTACAAAAGTGAAATAGTACAAAGGTAAAATTGTGGTTCCTGTGGGATTCCTTTGAAGGTGCGGAGTGACAATTCGGATCACTATGGCAAATCAAGGGAAGCTTGTTCTGCTCCCTCTATAATAGGTGTTGTGAATGCTATTGATGAAAAGGAGTAAAGGATTCTGAAGCGAAGCCAAAGGGCGACGGATTAAAGGATTCTGATGCGAAGCCTAAGGGCGCAGGAGTACGAGGACTGCCTCCATTGGAAAGGCCAACCCACACACTTCGGATGCTACTACGGATGTGGCCGGATCATCAACATCTCCTGGAAGAACAGTTCGTCCGCCCAGACGTTTTGGAGAGGACTGGAGCTAATCTCTAAGAGGGGAGATGTGATGTAATTGTACATATTCAGATGTAAATATGTAAATATGGTTTTGCATATAGACGCTCGAGTTAGGTTATAAATAGAGACAAATGAATGTTGTCAGAGAGTTAGAAAGTTCCGTTCTTAAATAAAGAAGTGTTCACCATCGTATCCCGATTCCCCTTGAAGAAACGAAACAACGTCCCCTCAGAGAAGGCTTCGTCTGGTGTAAATATATATTTTTTATCTTTGTAAAACCCCTTGTGAATAAATTTGCTAATTGTTATTTTCTATCTCTTTAGAACACTACCCCGTCCTACAAAAGAGTTTAGGGGGACACAGACGGTTCTAAGCCCCCTATATAAAATATAACCTACAAAAGGTATGTATATATAAATTGTATGTATATATATTCGCACTCGGGTAAAACCCGGGCGTTGCCCGGGCCATTCGTCTAGTTGAATATAAATGATTACAGCGCCATCTGTATCTAGGAATATAAACTATTTTGTGCAATTTTTTTAATAAAACGATTTCCTGCTGTTCTTACTATGATGAACATATTGGAAAGGATATAATAAATTAATTTGGCCCAGGCACTAGGAGAGGTCATCACTGATAATAAAATCCTCGAAATTCCTTTTTTAAAATCAAAATGTATGTATATATAAATTTTTATGTTTAAATATTGAGAGACATAATGCATAATAATGTTGAAGCAGATTATTGGATTTAAACAGATAAATTAATTTCTTACTATCTTGATTTTGACAGTTTTTATTTTAATCCAAAGAAGGTTTGAGATAAGAGCCTGAGAGAATATTTGGGTTTCTCCCTTCTTTGAAGTCTTGAACAATCTCTGAGAAAATAAGTTTCAACAGTTTCAGCAGCTTCATACATTGCACACATGTGCATCCAGACATCATAATTATAGTGATGATATTATGAACAGTGAGAGGGGGGTTGTTTCATACTTCTAATTCATAAAAATTCGTCAGTATATTGTTCGGCAGCTGTATTACAGTTTAATTGATCGAGTGTATTTCTTACAGCGCGGTCAAAAATGATTTATTTTTGCCTATCTTATTACAGCGACGCCAGAAAGAGAGATTCGGCAAATTTAGAAGATAACCATTAGAGAACACTTGCGCCTTAAGGAATAATTCCGGCGGGGGCGTAGAAGGAAAGCGACATTCTGGTGAGGGGAGTTCGACAGCCAGGAGCCTCGGAAAGATGGCGCCAAACAAAGCCCGGAGGATAGCAGCTGTTAATCTGACCGCGGAGGTTCCCTGAAGTTGACAGACCGTGTTAGCGACTGGACATTACGGAGTAAGTTTTTCTGTGGGAAGTGGACACTGGGAGGAGTGCGTCGGTCTACAGCGGATCAGCCTACAAGTCGTTGTCATCCAAGTCGGACAAGGACTGTATGTGGAGGGACGCTTCACAAGAAGGACATCCAAAGCACCAAGAATGCTACTGTCGGGGAGGTGAGAAACAAGTTCCTTATATTGTATTTCTTCCAGTTCATACCACTTTAATAAGGTCCTAACACTTAGCTGCCTCATTACACGAACTCACGTGTCGTCTTTGTACCATCCTGAATAGACAAAGATCACAAATGACCTCGGGGTACCGACGCAACAATATCATATATGCTATAATATTTATGAAAGAGTTCAATGCCTTCAATCATTGAAATCAGGTAATTCCATCGTGATCACTACACCAAACAGAAGAGTTAGTATCCATTTTAATGATACACAAGTAAACAATATAAACAATATATATAGTACAACATATTAACACGCCAGCGATTTATATGTAAAATATAATATTTTACGATATTTTAAATAGATAAATATATTTATATGCTGTCCTTACTTTGATAAAAAGTATTTTGAGGATTCTCTTACCAGTGATGACCTCTCCTAGTGGTTGCGGAAATTTAATCTATTAGATCCCTCCCAATATTCTCATCATATTATGGGAAGTGGGAAATTATTTTATTAAAAAAATAAGCGCTAAATTGTTTACATTCCTACATACTGTTGGATCGTTTTTGAAGACAACTCTCAGATTTATAAAATTAATTAATTAAACTTTAAACATTTTTAGATATATATAGAAACGAGTTAATTACCTCGTATTTAAGGCATCAAAAGAATAATCTAATTTTCATACATTTTCTAACCAGATTCAACTTGTGCAAAACAGACGACAAAGCAAAAATAAACAAATTAATCATAGAGGGTAAGTTCCTATTTTTTACAAGCTTTCACACTCAAGGAATATTCAACTTCTTGCTTCACATACAGATGGCGCTGTAATCATTTAGATTCAACTAGAAACAAGGGTCTCCTGGGAGATTCTCCCATATTCTAGATGGGGGCATGAAATACCAAGTGAAAATATAAGTTGAAATATCAAATTTTCTAACTTCCATCTTACATAAGGTGCTAAATCTATGCAACAGGAATAAACAAATTTGCATACCCCCATTCTAGAACCTTGATACCCAGGCCATTGTTGCTACTTAGAATGAATAGGAATTCAGATTTCAATCATACCTGCAATACCATTATGTAGTCACAATTGTGTTGGGTTTGACATTGTGTGAGAATAATATCACCGGGTTTTCCCTGTGAATTTGTATAGATCTAAAGTGATATCTAGTTCTAAGTCTTATTGAAATTTTACGTCATAATTATAATTGTTATTATAATTTTAATAGTATAAATTCATCATTAGTTTTAAAGAACTTTTTAAAAGTGCAAATAAAACAACAAAAGTAGTTGTTGTTTTATCTGCATGTTTAAAAAGTTCTTTATAAAAAAAGTTGGATATTTTAAAATTAAAAATATATATAAAGATAGTCAGTTGAAAATTAAAAATATGTACAGTTACTTGACATTGTAATTAGAATTTATTTTAAAACAAAAAAAAAATGATGAATTAAAAAAGTTTATTTATCTATTTATTCAACTTTATTTACCTATAACACAACAAAGTGTGATGTCCCGTTAAAGACACTGGCGCCAAATGAAAAAATATATATAGAGAAAAAGAAAAATGCATATACCTATATGCATATATAAGTATATGCATGTGTGTGATGATATTATCAAGTTAATTGATAATTTAATTATATCATCGCACAGATAATTTCTGGACCAAACTCTCAGAATCACAGACAGACTCAGGGAGGATAATTGGGTGAGCCTGGCTCATCAATAGTAAACCCTCTCTTCAGTTTCCCCATTTTAATCTACACAAGACCGTTCTAATAATGTATTATTCAGCTTTTGCTTATATATTCATCAATTTGTAGAAATTCTAAGGAACATACCGTAGCTCAGTTGGTTAGAGCGTTGTGTCAATAATGCGAAGGGCGTAGGTTCGATTCCCCATAGGTATGCATTTAAGAATATGTATTTAAGGGCCGACATTTAAGGTTATGCATTTAAGGGCAGACATTTACGGATATGCATTTAAGGACAGACATTTAAGGATGTGTATTTAAGGATATTAATTTAAGGACATGCATTTAATGATATGCATTTACGGATATGCATTTAAGGGCATGCATTTAAGGAGGTGTATTTAAGGGAATTCATTTAAGAGTGTGCATTCAAAGGTATGCATTTAAAGTCATGCATTTAACGATATGTATTTAAGGGCATGCATTTAAGGAATCTATGGACATAGATTTGAAGACAGTAAAGCGAGCGGTCTGGTAGACTAAAAGACGCGATACCAAGGGTCCATCACTGACAAGCCAGGCCCTCCCAATATTTCCGTCTCAGTAAGGATTTTTCTTTTTAAATATTAGCGCTAGATATTTTTATTATTCTTACATATCATATACATTTTTGTGGTGTTGGCCTTCTATCTAATATAAGAGAGAAACAATGCTTGTGTGTGATAGGTATTTTGGAACAAATAACGTGAAGGCTTTAGGTAAGAAAAAAAAAACATGGGGGTAGAAGGGAAGTGTGTGAAATGGCACCAACACGTGGTAACGATGTTTTACAAGAAAATTCCGCCCACAATTGTGATCCCATTGTGACAGAAAGACAATGAATTTAGACGATATTCCGCATTGAGAGGAAACACAGGGACTTCCCGGTCTGTGCAAGGTCTGCACGTTTTTCATTGTGAGCTGAACAAGGATGTGCCGGAGTCAGGCGTTCTTCTGCATCTTTCTGGTGGGACTTCTGCAGGGCGCCCAGGCCCTCTGTAAGAACGACCCGATTGGCATGCGGGTGTGCGGTGAGTTTCCATGCTCCCAGAATTGTTCTTGTCGAGTACGTATTCGGTCTTGTTGGTGTGGTCAGGTAAGTTTACGTTGGGTTAGTTTTGTCATGTGCCAAGAGATCTTGGGAAGACTGATATATCTACAATTGGAAGAAGACTCGTGTATCTACAATTGGGGGAAGAAGACTTATGTAACTTATGTTTCTACAATAGGAAGGTAGAAGACTTATGTATCTACAATTGGGAGAAAACTTATGTGTCTAAAATTGGGGGGAAGAAGACTTATGTATCTACAAACTGTGCGGGCAGCCAGCGAAAAATAACATCGCATTAATATAATAAGCTATCAACTTGGCGCCATCTATAGCTCAAAATTAGCACTTATTTTTAACGGAATTTTTTAAAAATACATTATATTAAGGGCTATTTCCACAGACCTTCTGTAAATATTAAATTGACGATGCTCTTCCTTTTTTTTTTTTCAAATTTGATCGTTACAGTAAAATGTCTTTATAAATCTCTTTATATATACCAAAAGTTTCACCATTCCCTTTAAATATGCATTATTTTCATGCATATTTGAAAGGAGAGGTTCCAGTTTTGGTACATCAATACCACTTTCAGCAACTTTATTAGCCTTAAAAATTAGTGCCAAAATTTTTTCCATATTTAAGCATCTCAAATCTACTTATAAATTCAATTGTGCATACTATAGCTAAAAATATTGTGGCGAAGAAATATTTTATTATTTAATTTAATATTATTCAATGAAAATATATTCAACAGATTATAAAAATATATATTAATCTGTATTTGTGAATTCATCTTTAAAATATTTCTTTGCTTGCTTGCTTAAGATTCTCTAGCTGTAAAAGAGTTTTTTTGGGGCTGACCTGTTAATAATTGTCGACTCGTCGCTGTGACGTCATCAATAAATACTTTTACATCTTAGGATATTTCAAGGCTTGATTTCTACGCCACAACTGGTGAAGAAGCTGGACCGATACCCATTAAGAAATAAAAGAAAAATTGATTCTGTTGAACCAGAAGAAACTTCTATGAATGTAAAGACGGAAGCAGGTACCCAAATAAGCAACTACGTTGTTCAACATCTGCCAAGGAACCCTTCCATTTTCTCCGGGGAGGATGGTGAAGATCTCCAAAAATGGTTAAAAGGGTATGCACGTGTGGCAAAGTACAACCATTAGGACGAAACCCTTTGTCTTACTAAAGTTTATTTTTATCTGTCTGGAACTGCTCTCAAATGGTTTGAGAACAACGAAGAAAGCATCCAGACTTGGAAGGAATTCACATCTCAATTAGAGAATGTGTTCGGAAAAAAAGAAAATTCAAAATTGCAAGCGGAGAAGAAACTTAAAACACGGGCACAATTAAAAGGCGAAAGTACCGAATTTTACATCCAGGATGTCCTGTGCTTGTGCAAAGAGGCTGATCTTCAAATGAGCGAGGAAGATAAAATCTCGCACCTCATGAAGGGGATAGCTGAGGAGCTTTATCAAGCACTCCTACCGAGGGATGTACAGAGCACCGAGCAATTCATTACAGAATGTCGCCGTGTCGAAGCGCTCCGTTGTAGGCGAGTTACCCCAACCAAGTACGAGCGCCTACCAAATGTAGCCTCTCTCTGTGACCAGGATTACGGAGAAGATCTGTCATCGCTGATCCGAAAAATTGTTCGTGAAGAGATAAAGCAAGTATTGGACTCTCCTCATGAGGAGCCTAAAATCGCTGTCATTGAAGATTTAGTGAGGGAAGAGATTGTAAAGACCTTGTCACCTAGATCAAAACCTACAATAAGTCCCCCTCAAGCAACCAGGCCGGAACCAAATACTAGATACGAGGCCCAAACGATACGACCGCATCCTGAACCTCATTACCGAAAGCAAGGAAGAAGATGTGACACCAATGAATGGCGGACAACTGAGGGAAAGCCAATCTGTTTCTACTGCGGACGCCCAGGTCACGTCGTCCGCTATTGCCGCGACAGGAAGAGACACAATGAGGAGAGGAGAAATGAATATTTCCGAAGAAAGAAAGACGCAAAGGAATTCTACAACTCTCAAACCGAATCTCAGGAACCCAACGATGAATCATCGAGGAAAATTTTCAGTCGCTACCGAAGGCCTACCCCATATACCGGTCGAAACAGACAAAATTTCTCACCTGCTAAAAGACCTAGCTGGTCGCCCCGCCATCAAAATTAGATGATAGACCATATTGGAGGTGAGGCCGCAAAGTTAAGAAATCCTACCTTGCCGACCACATTATAAATAAGAAAAAACTACATTGACGTAAATATAGACCTGCCAAGCCCTCAGGAAGAAGTTATCTCAACTGAAAGAATACATCCCCACTGAACGAACACAACAACCACAGACCCGCGAAGAGATCTCAAGCCCTATCACCCGTTCTCGGGCCTTGAAACTGAGGATGTAAGTCTCCTTCTGAGCATCGGGTCGATGCTCTTTATAGGAGGAGGCTATGTGGCGAAGAAATATTTTATTATTTAATTTAATATTATTCAATGAAAATATATTCAACAGATTATAAAATATATATTAATCTGTATTTGTGAAATCATCTTTAAAATATTTCTTTGCTTGCTTGCTTAAGATTCTTTAGCTGTAAAAGAGTTTTTTTGGGGCTGACCTGTTAATAATTGTCGACTCGTCGCTGTGACGTCATCAATAAATACTTTTACATCTTAGGATATTTCAAGGCTTGATTTCTACGCTACAATATCATCAATAACTTATCGCCCTCTATCTCTGAGAAATTAAAAATATATATATAATTAAAATTTATTTCTACAGCCCTTATCCTGCAATGAAAAAATTGAAAGAGGGAGGGTATGGCTCATCCATATGTCCATAATTTGTTCAAAACACAAATTTACTGTATTCAACAGAAAGTGCAAGTTATATAATAAATTCAGTCTAATACAATAATGAAGCGGTCTGGAGATTAAAATGGTTAAACCGCTGGGATTGAAAATCATCGTTAAAAATGTTTATAATTCTCAGCTATACTAGAAAGTTTCTCATGTGAGAGGATATGCATTACTTGTATGTATTTACACGTAATTATACTGTCCTCGAGGTTTAGGTCCATAATTTGCTTAAACATCATAATCAATATTCCTCCTACAGTTTCATATATATAAGAAGAATCACCAAATAAAATTGTTGAACTCTTTGAAGCGGTCTGATGGATTAAAATTTGCGAAATGGCTAAGAGAGTTCACTATTGATGAGTCAGGCCCTTACAATATTTTTCATCGCAGTAAGGACATTAGAAAGCTTATCTGTAAAAGAAACATTTGTGGAGAGACAACACTTAAGGAAGTGGAAAGTCTTTTATATCGCCGGTCGACTGTTTTTTGAAGGAGACAGAGACAATTCTGTTCACACTTGGTTATCTCGTGTATCTTCGATAAAGGTCACTGTGCAACAAATATCTTTCAAAGTTAAAATTATCGTTAAAAATTCTTAGCTATATTAAATAGTTTCTCATGTGGGGGATATGTATTTACATATTACATGTAATTCTACTGTCCTCGACGTTTATGTCCATAATTTCAAAGTTATTAATATCTGAATCCCGATGTGTGATAAAAGGTACAACTTCCATAAGTATATATGTACTACTATTAAATAGTAAATAATATTTAGAATCTGTGTGGGTAATTGGCCACATCATATACACTCCAGCAACCTAGGTCAACCAGATAAATAATATCAATCCAGATAAAAAAAGAAACAATTCAATGTTCATCAATAATACTTGTGTGCAGGTGACGAAACTGAACTTCTGGAGAACATGTGGAAGAAATGTATGACCCCAGTTAAAGTCACCTACGAGGTAAACTATGTCACCAAGACTGATTGTTTACACTTGCGTACATTTCACTTCTTTAGAGAATTGGTAACATTCACAACAGAACAGCGTAATAATGAATAAACATTAGCCCTCCTAATACAGCTAAACCTGTCTATAGCGCCCCCTCTTGGGACTCACCAAAATAGGGTGCTATAGAGAGGGTATGCTATAGACATGTCACTTTTAATGTAAATCGCATCGTACTACGTATTTAAAATCGGGCGCTATATAGAGGGAGGCGCTATTTAGAGGGGGCGCTATA